GCGTGTTTCGACAACGCGGTTTGCCGTTGGCAATTGTCTCTGGTAAAGATCCTCACTTCACTGGATATTTTTAAATATCCATCTTTAAGGTGCTCGGCATACGATTGGACATGTCCACAGCGAATCATCCGCAGATTAATGGTCAAACCGAGCGAGTGAATCTCATCATCGGTGACATCTTGCGCATTGTTTGCTCTGAAACGCCTAAGCATTGGAACTCAATGATCCCTGTCGCTGAGTTTTTCTTGAATAACGTCGTGCATGCCTCCACCGGCTACACTCCGTTCTATGTAAATGGTCTCACACACCCTCGCGTTCCGTTAACGCTACCACTACGTGGTTCAGGGCTTGGTCGAGGAGGAGTTGCCGATCGGCTTGCTGATATCAGCCCTGCTACTGTTGAAAAACAGGTAAGCGACTTTCTCGCAACGCGATTGAATGTCTTACGACATGTGCGTGACGCACTGGATGACAGCCAAGACAAACAGACGGAACTAGCTGATGCTAAAGACAGAGATTGTATTGCCTGTTATAAGTTCGGAGACCAAGTTCTACTTAATGCTAAAACCTACCTACAAATGTAGTGTCTGCCGTCTTCAAGACAAATTTGCGTCCGCGGTTTATTGTACCATTCACGGCCATTGCTAAGAAGGGTCTTGCGTATACGCTCAACCTTCCGCGCAAATTGCACACACACTCAGTGTTCTACATTGACCTACTTTAGCCTTATCGGGATTCGTCCCACGTGAACTTGGGGGCACTTGCGCCGCGTAACTTGACCTTGCCATCGGCTGCTAATTCCGAATTAGGATGTCAAGCTGAGCCTCCATCCGGGCTTGAATTAACTTCAATGCCTGGAAACGGGCTTGGCCCAACTCCAACGCCTGAACACGGGATTGCATCGCATCAAGCGCACTATAGGTCTTACTTGATGTCTCGCGGAGATTACCTGGCTCGAGAAGCACCTTTTTGTGCTCCTCCTTCGATACACCGACCGCCACCGACGATTCTTGATGAGCAAGGGAATCATCAGTTCCATGTGGAAAAAATTCTGATGCGACGTCGTCGTCGTAGCCAATACCAGTATCCAGTGAAGTGGGGAGGGTACCCTGAGTCGGAGAACTCATGGTAGTATGATATATCCCTTCGGCAGTATTGCCCATACGCCGTGGATGTTTTTCAACATCGTGGCCAGGGTCATTCTGCGACCACAAACGCTATACCTATAGTGGTGGAATGTAGCGAGTTGCTCCGCACCATTGGATCGGAACCCGCGGCTACCGGCGTAGTCGAAGCATAGCGCGTTCGATTGCGCAATCGACATCTGGCCTTGAGCTTGGCGTATTCTTACCGAAGCTTTCGTTCGAAACGAACATCAGCCACATCGGCACTTGCTCTTGAAGCTTTCATGCTACCGAGGTGTCGCTTGCGGTACACCCAGCGGATGAATTAGTTGTCCTCCTCTTCAGGCAACTCACCGGCGGACAACAAATCGGGCACGCGATTGATCGTTCTAACCGAAATACCACGTGCTAGGCTCTCAAGTTGCGCCTTGTACTGACCTTGTGTGGTCAAGAATGGTTCGAGATACCTCTCATGCAGAATTTCGCTGAAGGCGATGTCTTCTGGCGACGTAACCTCTGAGCAATGGCCCATGTTGAAAGGCTACGGCCTTCCGTTTGAATGAGACATTCCTTCACGTCAGGTGTTGAGAGGACATAATTTCTCCGATTTTGAATCAGTCTCTTGGTCTGAGCGCGACGAAGAGCTTTCCCTCACGCTAGAGAATCAGCTCCTGTTGCTTGTCGTGCGGGTTAGTGATGATGTGTTCACGGGCATATGTTGCATAATGCTGCGCCATTGGTGCGGTGGTTTTAGCACGTTCGACGAACGGATTTGGTGCTGTGAGAGGTCGAACGTCAGACACAGGGAGGTTCGACATTGTACCGTTATCTACATGGACATTGGCACTGCTACCATAGTCCACATCCTCATCAAAGTCGAGGTAGGAGGGAACATTCCGAGAATCGTTAGGTGGCAATGCCATGGTGTTTCGTGTTTTGGCAAACCGTGTGGTTTAAATCGTACACACATCGACCTCTTCGAAGAAAGAATTTGATTTGGTACGGGGTTACACAACGGGTGTGTGTAACAGGTTACATAACATGTGTGGTACACAAAGGACGGAGTCCCATTAAAAATGGTATTCGAACACCATATCAATTGTCGGGGGACGACGTGTGTCAGCCACCGAATTCAGAGATCTTTTAGGAGGTATTAATTAGAACAGTAGTGACTGGGTTGAGTACGTTGTTCTGAGGTGTTCTTTTCGATAAACATAAATAAGGATCAGTCCCCATTTGATCATTTAAGACACGTGCCTTACGAGGCGTCTTTGATCGGTAAGAGCTAGCAACGCCTGTGCAGGTAACTACTCTTGAGCACTATGTGCTGTGATTCTCTTGAATCGTTTGGTACCCTGGAACAGGGACCGCAAGCTCTCTGAGCTTGTTGACTCTCTGAGTCGGGTTCTCTGAACCTAAGCTGCTCGTTGAGCGTAAAGTCTTTCTCTGACTTAAGGAGATGTGTAGCTCCGCTACAGACAACAGCATCAATGCACCCGCATATGTGCGATACGTACAGTGATCGAAATCGAAGAATAGTGCAGCAATGACGATTAGCAATAGGAAAAAACAGAAAGCATGAAGAATCGTGGAAGACAAAGAAATGCACCGCAAGACGAGAAAATGAAAATGAAAGCACAACAAGATGAAAAATGACGCACTAAATAACCAAAATTGCAGCGACAATGTGTATTATACATTTGTCGACACAGGTGTAGAATAACATGGAACCTTATGAATGTTGACACTGGAATTCATACGAAAGCGGTGGCAAAATATAAAATGTAACATCCATAGTAGTTTGGTGGTGTCAGATCGGTCTATACTTGTCATTTATCACTTAGTTTGTCCCATGAAAGCGGCCGACGCACAAGAACCGTTTATGCCGCAGGATACATAGATTCTACGATGCAAACATCAATCTCTGTCTCAGACCATTGAGACCACCGATGGTGGGATTGCAGCACCATGACCTCATTGTTAGTAAATTGCACTTCACGATCAATGTAAGCCGATAGACCGGGGTAGTTAATCTTGTGTGTACTATGTAGCTCACTGTAGATAGAAATAGTTGCATTGATCTTCACGTCATCTAGAAAAATTCCTATGTCAACACTAATCACCACCATCATTAGTCTCTTCTCTTGATGACCGCAACATCCCATCAACATTGTACGATTTTTCAACTTGCATACACTTTGTGTGTCCACAAACATCTGCGTGGATACTTGCAATAGCACCAACAAGCTCCTGCCAGCTCTTCAGTATACTTACTGCCCTTGCTGGTTTTGTTTTTTCGTCCATTACTGCTGCCTCAAATCGATCTTTAGACGTCTTTTGCAGCATTGCAAAGCGACACTTTGACATTGCGCTATCTGACCATTTGAACTGCGCGACATCGCCACGGGCGACAGCTACACGTGGATACCGTATCGAGCTGCATACATATAAATCAAACAGATTGAAACAACGTGATCTCACCGACGAAGACGAGACGACACTAGCTACGCTTACAGAGTCAACGCACTTATGTTCGCGCAAGTCATTGTCGACTCTAGCCCGTCGCAAAGGTATGTGATGGAATAAGTTTATAGAGGCAATTCTGAAGCCATATGCGGATCAACATACGACACGAGTCATCTGACGCATGAGGCTGTTTGCACGTACAGCGAACATTGTTGGTGCAGTTCTATTTTTTCGTCCTGTAGTGCATAATTCGTCTTTTGGTAAACATTGGTGCGCTATTTATTTCACATCTTTTTGGCAGCTTTTTTACGATTTTGCGTTGCACTCTTTTTATTTTTCCCATAAATAACATGTCAAGGAGTACCACTTTGCAAAAAATTACGCACTGTTTGCGCGGTCGCGATGGCACCGTTCATTGAGTCATAAAGCCCCACAAACAGTCGTAGACTGTTGAGTCAAGTAGCCGAAAGTGAAGGTCTCAGGTCGGCAATATTAATGAGCTGCCTAGCGTGTAGTGCTACGGTCTCAGGTCGGCAATATTAATGAGCTGCTTAGCGTGTAGTGCTACGGTCTCAGGTCGGCAATATTAATGAACTGCCTAGCGTGTAGTGCTACGGTCTCAGGTCAGCAGTACTAATGAGCTGTCTAGCTTTTGGAGCTACTGCCGAGTTATTCCAGTTGCAAAAATGAGGCCACTCGGTCTGTCAGGTGACGCTATCAGCTTGCCTCACGTGCTGATAAGAGGTTCGGTACATATACGTAGCAGAGGATCTGACAAGTGCGTCTTGTACCCGCAACGTGTACGCACGCCCGATTGGCCCCCATTTTTCTCACTTTCATTTTGCGTGCAGCGGTACTAGCTACAATGTAGTCTGTTGAGACCCGAAGTGGCTTCGGGATATCCTGTGTTGGATCGAGAAATACACCCTCGTGCATTGTAGATTCGCTTCATTCGTATAGGATGGGATCCTTCGACTTCTTGTCTTTCATGGGTCACATGGTGCATGCCAAGCTACGACCCACTTGCAGCTACGACGTGTAAATGAATGCTCCAAGCAAGGGTGGTCAGTCCAATGCTGTCTTGCGTACTGATCTCGAGAATACATATCACCTTAAACGGCATGCGTGACACGTGTTATTACCACATTGAGGCTACTCGGTCGTGTTCCGCGTTTCACCGGCTGGGTGTCGTGGCAACCTGGAAGCGATTGCGTGGGCTGCACGAAAGAGGGAGGACCGAAGCATACAACAGAGCTGATCTTGTCCCTATCTCCAGTGCATGGCGTACCAGTCATCCGATGCTCTTATTCTACCCTCGTCGATTTTTCTGGTTCATTTTCACCGATTCGCACGTCAGCATCGGAAGCAATCTGACTGCCTTAGCCGACTAGCTGCACGGCGTGACTGCTTTTACGTCAGCATGGCTGTTGTCGCAGTAGTTGGCGTCGTAGGAGTCATGCCGCCTTCTGCACTGAGCACGGCCATCTCATCCTGGGCACGGCGAAGCACCTTCTGTGCATTGGTCGTGATAGCCGACTTGGCCGGGTCACCATTGAAAATGCGCGAGTTGTTCACAATGAGCTCCAGGTCCTTCACGAACTCGCGCATCGAGTCGTACTCTTTGGCCTCGATCTTGCGGCGAATGGCGCTCAAGTCCATCGGCTGCTTCACGATCTGGTAGTAGTTGTGAACGGCACCTGCATCCACTGGCAGGCGAAAGAGCTCGCTTTCTGGCATATCGAGCAAATGCTGAAGAACGACCTCCAAAGCCTGATTGAGGTGCTCCACAGGCATACGTGAGCGACTCAGCTTTATGACACCCTTCGCGTACGGACGCTTGTACAACTCTGCCTGCTCGCGCACTTCCATTTCTCGCTTCCGCTTTTTTTCTGCGTGGTGTTTGCGCGCACCTTCACGCAACTCTGCCAGATTAACGGTGATCCTAGGGACGGAGTCACTGCCACTGACCGTTGGCGGCGTCTTCTTTATCTTCAGCTTCAGTGGTTCAGCAGGTACTGCACTCGCTTGTTTGCCTGGTATGGAGCCAGACTTCTTTGTACGAGCTTCATCGGCCATATATAATGGGCAACTGCGATTCGTACGCATGTGGCCGACCTGTAGACATTGTGTACACCGAATCACGCCCTTGCCATTTGCATCTTCAGCATCGACATTTTCTACACCTTCATCAGCTTCGCCCTTCTTCAACATCTCCTGGTATCCCTTGTTCTGCGCCTCGGTCTTTCGCAATTGCTTCAACTCTTCTTGCAATTGTTTACGTCGCTTGGCCTTGTCCAGCAAACTCTGACTAGTAGCGTCATCTTCTAAAGCTAGCATACGCTTGCGCTTCCGCAACTGGTTGCGCTCGTCGGTCTTTAGCTGGCGCTCCTTGCGTTGCTGCATCGCGCGGAAGCGAGCCACCTGCTTCTCATCTACAATGAACTGTATTCGGACGGTCTCGCTACCGTCCTCCTCAATAACTCGGACAACACGCTTTAGTACCTTTCGCCCAGGGATCTTTTTGGAAGCGCTTGGTGGCTCTGACACAGCCGGTGTGCGGCTTCCATGAGTGGGCGAAGACACTCGCGACAACTGACCTGTAGGGGTTGCCATAGCAGACGATACTGCCGATCCAGCACGAGACATCATGTTTGATCGTGCTCCCACGCCCGATACAGACGAAATGCCACTGGCCCCGGTTCCACCCTCTCTGATTCCACTTGCGCGTAGTTGATTGCGTAGTCGGTTAGTGTCAACATCAGGCCGACGTACCGCGCTCGTAGCCTTGGCACCTGAGCTGGAGCCTTGGTCTTCGTTCATCTCTTCCATGAGGCGACGTAGCTCCACAGCATCTTCCCGCTCGGCAAGCACTTCCTTCGAGCGGTTGAGACCTCCACCACCACTGCGGAACAAATTCTTCGGACCGCGTTTTGTGTCCGTGCCGCCTAAGATATCTGCCTCAACATCAGCGCCCAACTCGTCAAGCTCATCGTCACCATCTGACTCTTCGTCTGAAGAAAATGTGGTCTTCGCCGAGCTCAGTACATCCATCTGACGCTCATAAATCACATCACACTTCTTTCGGTACTCTTGCTGCTGCGCAGAAAGCGATTTGCGCGCGCCACGTGCAAACTTACTCAAACTTCCTGCCACACCGTGCGCTGTAGCACGGCTGCTTAGCTCACGCACCATATGGATTCGGTCCCAGCGGCGCAGCTTCTTGATATCTGCGTCTGCCAGACCCAAATTGCGCAACACATCACCAGCTTCCTTCATCTTTAGTTTACGCAGATCGGCAGTTGTACCAGTCACTGCTGCAACGGCCTTTTGTACGGCTGCAGTTTCTGCACTGATCTTGCTTTCAGTCGTAGGAGCTGCATCTTCCTCGCCATCTTTCTTCTTGGCGCGAGACTGGGGTACACGGACAAAGCTAAACCCTTCACCGCGACCGGTGGGATCACCTATTCCACCAAGCTGCAACATACCCGAACCTTTACCCTGTAAGTGACACTCCACGTAGTTGTTCGTCAAATTCCACGGCGTGAGTTGTAATTGCTCATTGATGTAGCGAGCAACTTGAATGTCGGTCTCGAGCTTGCGCACAACGGGATCCTTCTTCCACAATTCTGCTTGAACCTTCTCTTTTGCACGTCTTTCTAGATTCGCAGGCACGAGACGTGCCGACAATGCATTCTTTCGCAGTTCCAGACGTCGAATCATGTGGTTGATGGCTCCATTCACACCAGACGGTGTGAACAACTTGGTCAGGCCAATGTCGAGCAGCCGTCTATGACCAGACATCATGCTCTCGTACAGACACACGCTTTCAGGCGGAATGCTTGCGCGAATTTCCTCTTCGCTTTGCAGTTGCGATACTGGCTTTTTCTTCCACCAGCCCGAGTCGTTGCCACCACGCTCAAATGTGGCTACCTCCTTCATCCGCTTGCGGATCGCAGTGCCTGATTGATTGGGAAATGCACGCGCAATGTCCTCAATCTTCAGCCGTTCGCCGTCACTTGCTTTCTTAAACAGACGAAGAATGTGGAACGACATGTACGGGCGGATAAACTCATTTGCACTGCGAGAGTTTGGCGCCGGGACTTCAATTTGAGGTTCAATTTGTCCTGCTACAAAGACCATCGGCAATTCCATGATGTACACAGTTGTCGAAACTCCAAGTCCACCCGACTTCTCAGCCGCAGTGCCCTTCTTGCTTTTTGTCACCGAGCGACACATCAGAAATATGTCCGAGTTGTTACGCTCGCGCGCTTCCGCACTCGCAGCAAATGGCACCGTCGGTCTATGGGGGAATATAGGCACCTTGTACAGCTTCGAATTGAGCGACGTCACGACTCGACCTGGCGGGATGTCACCGACAAACGGGGACTCATCATGATCCCCAAGCGTTATGACCTGGCCCATTTTCATATCCGGTGGTTTGGGGCGTGTTTTGCGGGCTTTTTTCTTTCCCAAAATACCCAAACTCGTGGACGTGTCCTCTGGTGGCCGCCAATAGTGAAGTATACGAGAAGCCATACCTGGATTGGATAGCATGGGCGGCCGCTGCTCTGTATACTCGATAAGAATCAACTTACCACCAGCAGTCGGACTCAAGTCAGAGCTTTTCTTAATCTGCGTCACCATAGCGCTATCCTCCTGTGGCGCAAGCTTAGCGGCACCCGAAGGCGGTGGGTAGAAGTCTAGTCGCTCACTGATTTTGAACTTTCCACGCGGTCGATGGAAATCGCGCAACTTCGTCTTAGGCAGTTCAGGCTTCGTGAGCGAAAGCTTTATGGCTGGCAGCGAGTGATGCACGTAGCCAATATTCTTCACCACACGCGTGTCCTTTGACTTCTTGCCACTACCCTCGGTACCCAATCGACCTTCGGCTGTCTCTTCACCAAATTCGAGATTGCCCATCACCTCATCAATACGTTGCTTCTTTTCGATACGTTGCTTGTCGAGCTGCGCCAATCTTTGTTCGGCAGCTCCCAGCTTTCGTTCTGGAATCCGCAGCGTGGGACGAACATCTTCCATTTGAGATACAGAGTAAATAAGCGACGCATCGTTATCGTCGAGCACCAGCTTGCTCTCTGGCATGTCTTGTGTTGACCTCCACCCGATTGCCGCAATCCACGAGTCATCCAGGAGCTCTTTGTTTAGCGGACACGGTAAGGTATCGGCCTTGCCGTCCTCCTGACTTGCTGCACGAGCGACATTTGCACCAAGCTTCTTTTTCACAGTGTCTTGCAGCTCCCACCGATAGTTTCGAGGTTTGGTCATATCAAAATCATCACCGCGAAACGCCTCCGACGAATTTGCTACCGCTTCCTTACTAGCTCTTGCTGTGCGCAGCTCCTTGTACGTCTGCAAACTTGCTTTCACGACACTTTTCGCTACTTTCTTGTCTCCACTAGCCTCTCTATTCCCAGCTTTCTTTCCACCTGCTTGCATCACCGTGACTTCACCTACTGAATTCTCAACCTCCACCTGTCTCTCCTCTTTCTCTCGATCGTTATCGTTATCAGCAGCAGCATGAAAGTCAATGCCCCAGATGATCTGGTCCTCCCACACAATCTGCTGCACCTTGTGGTACTGGGCGTCCCTTTCGTGCTCTTCAAAGTCGGTGAGACCGTCTACTTTTCTGCCAGATGCTGCTATCGTAGCGAACGGCATGGCTGACGAGGCCACGAAGCGACGCATCGGTCGCCCCTTGGCCTCTGTTGCTCTAAGGGGATGCGACTGCATCATCTGCTCCTTTCCCGCGACGTTATCTGCACTTCTGCCCTCCCGTGTCGTCAGAAACTGCTGCAACTGGTCGGGAACAAACCTGGCCGTACTGACAAGTGCAACGTCCACCGTCGCGCTCTGTGCTTGTTGCTGCTGCTGCTGTTGCTGCTGCATTCGATGCTCCCGCGCGACGTCCTCCATCTCCTTTTTCCACGTGCGCAGCGTGGCTTCAATCTCCGACTCACGCGACGATCGCTGATACAAAGCGGTAAAATCAACAACGTCGTGACGAGCGCGCGCCGCCTTCTTTCCGGCGAACGACGCACATACAGACGACACAGACGACGTTAGCGTCTTGCGGCGTCCTTCCTCTTCCAATTGAGGTACTGCAGCCGTGTCAGAACCGCTTGTGGAGCGCTGCAGCGGCCCGTCAAGCGACGCGCGAGTCGGATCGGCTTCTGCTGGTCGTGGAGGCGTCATATCGCCGACTGACACCACATGGGCCGCGAATCGAATGTCACGCGAAGGTTGCGCGGCGAGTTGAGGGATGGTACATGGGTACATTTCTAAACGAAATCGCAAAAAGGAGCCATTACCACATTCGGCACATGAGTCGGCCACAGCTCGATGGGACGGCGCTCGACCTGTTTGCGCGGCGGCCGACGCGAAGTTTCCGGACCAATTTGAACTTCCTGGATAGCGCGACGAAGACACGAGACGGAGAAGAATGTGGATACCGACCGCGACAAGTCGTTGAGCTGTGTGGGGCGAGCGACACGCCCACGATGCGCGTGCTCGAGCACGTGGTGGTCTCTTTCCTCATGAAAAGTTGCAAAGGTCCCGCCCAGACAGGAAACGAGCGCGTTGTCATTTTTGACCACGAGTATCAAGTGTCTACAGCGCGTATCGAAGCACTCGTGTCTTGTCGATTGGCGGCGAGCGAGCAAGACGAGGCGGTGAAGGAAGCGCTGAGTCGAGTGCAGATCTGCCACTGTCGGGACTCGTTCCAGTGGCTCGCCACGCTCAATTACCTGCATTTTGAGCTTTTGGAAGTGACTCCAGCACGTAAGTTGACTTGGATAGAAGCGTGGAGGTCAGAGAGAGATTCACGTGGGAAGCATCTGTATGTGTGCATGTGGTTTGCAATAGCTTTGATGCTAGTCGTCAACACTGTTGGGTCGTTTCATGCGATTGACAAGGTACGTGAACGTTGCGTACGGAAGCTGGTGCTCCATCTAGATTGAGAAGAAGTGACGGGCTGATCGTGTGATGGTTGCGGAAGATGACAGCCAAGAGCGTGGGGAGCGGACTGGCGTTATCGGATCAAGTATTTGTGTACCTGAAACAGTTCATCCAGCATCATTCACCTATTGTTTTTGCGACAAAGGAGACTACGAGTGCGTACATATCGATGGTTAGGATGTGTCTAGTAGCGCTAACTGCTTCGTACTTGGCTAGAAAGTTTGCGCGATTCTTGGGACCATGCTGAGTTCATGCCCTCATCATGGACTTCCCAAGTCACCAAGCGTATTATGCTTCGGACACCCACACTGCAATGTGATGGGTATGATCCGATATTTGTGACCACTCACCGACACAACTGATCGAAGTCGCTTGTGTGACAGCCTCAAAATGGAGACACAGAGCAGTCTGGACGATAGACACAGAGACGGACACGCACCATTCGAGGCAAAATGCGTTGTCGCGGGCAAGGGGTACGTGATCGTGGGAGTGCGATGCTGCCAATATAAATCTGACATATTGCGGCTTAGCCAAGTGTATACGTGCCGCATAGATGGCTATGAGATTGTCTCGAATCGACGAGCTGTTCACGCGTGAAGTCATGTCCGCATTACAGGTTGAAGTCGGAAACCATCCATGACAACCTGCAAGGCGCCGTTGCTGACAATCGGTGATTGCCACGTGTTCTTACGCGATGTTGGCTGATTACTTGGGTGGACTGTCTCTTAGCGAGGGACAGTCGTTGCAGCGAAACAAATAGGTCAAAGGAGCCTGGTGTATTACAGGCCATGTAGGTTTAGTTAGCTGTTGCATGTGGTTGTTTTATATTGTGTTACCCTCTTCGCTGGCTCAACGTCGCAATGTAACCGCGGGGAGCAGTACAGCGTATGTATACTGATGCTAGATTTTTTTGAAGATGTTGCAGTATCATTTCGGGACACGGATTGATGCTGCATGCAACCTTGTGTGCGCGAACAAATACATGCAAACCGCATGCAAGCTGCTGAGTCTCGTATGATTTACGCCTATGCGATTACTCCGGAAGCGCACTGGCACTGACTAACGCTGTCACCTCTTTTGACTAAGCATGCAGAGGGTAGCGTGCATGTTCAAGTAATTCCAAGGATTGCAGATGTGCAATATAGTGTCGATAGGATTCTGGACACGGTGACCTATTGCAAGTTGTGGGATGACCCAACGTGCTCCATCTGTACGCGGCATTAACCCGTGAACGCCTGATCGATATCCGTCGATGCCACTTTTCAGCACTCCGCAGGTCGCCATGACCTCCCACCTCGGTAACGAGACCGCAATATCGAACCAGCCTGCTTTTTTGCGCATACAAACACGACCCGGTACAAACAAGCCCTCAAAAATGCGCTTGCAGAAGCTGCGCATTTTATATTCGGACATGTACGGTCACGCACATTCACTCGGACTTCTTGCATTTCAAACACGCGGTCGACATCGCATGGCCAATTCTGTGAGAATATTGAGTGCACATTGCAGCTGTTTACGGGACCAAGCTCGCGGAAGGCTGTTCCGGATCTAATGCAATAGCACATGCATCGGATGGCAATGAACCGACGAGCGCGAACGATGCCACTGACGTGTCCCATCGAGACGCTAGGATCCAGCAGCGCGGAAATATGAAAAAAAACATGTTGACTTACATCGAGACGAAGCTGTGTTCCTGTATCACGATTATATTGAACGCTCTCCGTACTAGATGGCTTCGAAGCAGCCATGTCATTTAGTCAAAGGCGTCGACAAAAGCTCGCCCCAATTGCGTGTCTTCAGCTCAACACAACGAAGCGATCCATGAGTCGAATCCGAAACTGTGTTGAGATCGAGCTATTCCGATTCGATCAATGATGCTAGCTACCTAACGGTGATACGAGGAACGCGTTGCATCCCCGATACATTCCAAAAGGATAGCTTCGATCTGGCGTCATGCGTGTACAACACACGATTGGTATCAGCTACTGTAGTGATAGCGAACTCGATGTATTTCACATTAAGTTTCGTAAACAGGATAAGCACTGCGTTGCTAAGATCGCTTGTGTCGCCCTTTGTAGAATACCACCTCCTTCAGTTCGACAAGCGGCAATGAAGACAAAAAACCATTTGACACAACCACTGCGACGGCGTGTCGAACTCAAGGCCACGCCACCGACTGGGCTTGAAATTGGTCGCAGTAAATTCGGTAGAACGCGAGTCTGCAAAAAGGTACACCACCGAGTCGGTAAACCCGAAAGGTACTGATAGCAGGCATCTGGGTATATAGGATCGTAAGTAAAACCTCTCTGGTTTTTGAACATTGACGCTTCATTTCTGCACGAAGAGTGCGTTAAAAATAAGCGAAAAGTGATGTCATTAACCATCAAGTAGCTTATACATGACATAACCTTACATGTATCGTGCGTGCTGAGATCGGGCGCCACAAATACGCTTGACCTTCTCCTAGTCCTTCACCTTAGCTCTAGACTGATTGCGGCGTGTGGCGGTCGAATCGCCACTCATCTTACACCGCACACCACAATCAGGTTTGAGCCAAGGTAATGACTTTTGTACCACTTTAACATTGTAGGTCATGACGCTTAATCACTGGGATCAGCAAGGTTAAGCACATCCAGCTAGGTCAACCACGCAAACTTTACCTTCATCGCATCGAAGACGATGCGATGAGCTACGATGAAGACTGCCAATGCGACGACCCATCTTAGCATTAATCTTGACAACTTCTAGCCCAAGGCAGACAAATGGTTAGTCCCCCTTAACTGTTTTTAATGAAGAGGTGAAACCGATATATCTCAAGTCGACGTACATGAGTCGGCTCCAGTATCAGTATTATACAACACGTATCTCAAGATTGTGAATAGATGAGCTCCTTGTTTATCCAAACATCTCTGAATGGTTTAGTCCTTAATTGTCGGGCAAGCTTATCGCTTTCTCACCCGCGCCAATTCCATGGTGTGTGAACTCGGCGATGGTGATGTAATATCCGTCTCCGTCTATTTCGCACACCATGGCAGTTAAAAGTGGCCCACAGATAGTGAACTCATACGTTTGACAGCAGCTCCTTCGACTTACATCATAAGATCAAACATTTACGCGTGACGTATAAGCTACCCCCCCCTCCGCCACCACTATGGTAAAAATTCCGTGGACGTCAGAAAAAACCACGAAGCGCAACCAGGGTGACGGACTTCGCGTCATACTGTAAAAAGTATAATACTTTCCACACAGGTGACAATGTGGACAGAACCGCAAATTTTGCGTTAGTGAAGGTGAAGAGGAAGCAAAATGTACTGAGCAATAAGCTTTAGTTTATTGGGTAGAGTCAGTATTTACCAAACTAATCTTCATGCGTCGATTGACAGTTTAATCTAAACAAGATTTCTTATATCTTAGACAACTAGACTGACCTACAAACGCGTATGTCGACACTTGCTCACCGTTACTTGCGCGCGCTTCCAATCCCGGCTGACATCATGGCATACATCAGCCAATTAGGATTGTATACAATCACGTAGAAATTACTCTGCCACGATGATTATCATACTGTCATTCTTTGCTGATGTCAATATATTGCAACGTGATCAGTCCATCACCACAATGAAGACGTAATCGATAATGTTTTGTTAGGCAAAGAGATTCGGACTAACGTATCCATTCTTTCGTCTAATAGCGCTCTATAGCTACCAAATATTTACGTATATTATAAAAGTCGAAAGTACCACCTGCCGAGGAATCTCGCTAACCGATCCCCTACAACGTGTGACATCCGCTTCTCACAAAAGAAGCGAATGAACAAACACATGAACTGATTGATTTCGTTTCACATGTAATGCATGTAGAGTAGGGAAAGGAAAAGGGATTGGATGAGGTCAAGCCATTTATACAACGTATGTGTACCCATTCCGTATCGCATATATAGCCACAACAAATACGTATGTTGACACTTCATTGCGCGCGCTTTTGTTTACTGCTGGACTTGCTGGCTGTTGTCATGGCGTTTGTCAGCCGATTGGTAGAGTCTCAACAACCTCTGCTTAGCGTTTCATTCGACGGTATTTTATTCCCTAATATTACCATCAAGGGTGATATTGTTGATGCAATTCGTTCAAACAAGTGTTCAGGTTGACATGCAAATTCTGACAATGTCATAGAACGGGATCGGCCCGTTCCAAACATCCGGAAGTGGCGTGGACCAGATGTGCGGAGTTCACTTTGTTAGACGTTAAACTGCGTGCATCGACATTTTCCGCCGCCAGCTTGTTCGTTTGTGCAAAGGTACGCCGTACTCGAAAGAAAGTTTGCGAAACGATCATACCAAGTTGGCAACACGATTGCTGGTCAGCAAAAATCTCCACGGTTCGTCCAAGTGGTCACGACTTATTTCACCCTGATGCACTGATTAGGTTGCGATGCTTGATGTACGGAGTCATCGGAAGTGATCGTGTACGGAAATGTAGACGTGGTCTAAGTTCTGCGCATGGTTTCGTACGGTGTACTACATCGCTAGTGATGGGAGTAGTGTCACGAAGGTGTCGATCTAGTCAGGGACGGTGTCCTGGTAGGTAAGACGGAGGCACCAAGAAGATGTACATCATGCCTCGATACAACCAAAGACGGTGATGGATCGAATGCAGCCTGGCGGCCACCTTCTATCGAGTCTCGGACGCTTCAGGACAGGCCTGAGCCATACGATCGCTGCCACAGATGTCTTGCTCAGCTCTTCTATTCCAACCTACTCGACACTTCACAACGGTCCACAGGATACGACAACAAGGTACATACCCTTGCCAATGCAAGACATTTTGTCTTAGCGCAAATTCGTCATATAGCAAGAGGTCTTATTCTTGACGACGCTTTTCGTGATTTCGGCTATATGTAGCCTGTATGAGGAGTCTCGTTCACAACAACAGATGATGCTTGTACAATGCAGTTGAGTCTCTGCTTTGCTCGACAAGGTGCTACTGGCCTCACTTCTCACAAAAGAATGACACAACGTCAAGCTGTAAAGACCAAGACAGCCGCGCATTCTGTCGAAGTGTGGACTTCATGACTGATATCGGATCTGTTTAGCACCATCCTGAGACACGTGCGACTGCATGTCAAGCGTGTGCTCGCCTGATGGACGAGTACTGGTTGTGGCAGTAAACAACTGCAACAGCCAGAACTGCATCGGTCTGTCAATTTCATCACTTTTCCAAGCCGTCGAAAGAATCACATGCATTCGAATAATTATATGCTAAGTGCAGAATAGACGGATGATTGAAGCAATGTCGACATCGATCACGACGGCGATAGTTGCTGCGTGAACAGGACCGTCCTAGCCACGGATTGAGATGACACACCAGCCCAAGATGAACAGCATAATAGGCGATACTGATGACGGAATAAAGACATGGTGGCAGAAGGAGTAGCAAAGCAGCAGCAAAGTCATCATGATGAGGTAGATGCAGTATGGAGCATAGGATGATCGAAGAGGGGTGTGAAGACGACGTACTCGACGAAACTTAGACGCAGTTCCAGGTTTCATCATTCGTTTATGCGTGACTGCGCAAGCTAATACTAGTAAAATCAAACTGCTAAAGAACGGCAATACCGAGAAGTCAAGAACATCATGCGCATTGTGCCTTATCCAGGATGCATTGTGCCTTATCCTGGATGTGTTCTTGCTACGACCACGCCTAACTTGACAGACTCTTGCAACCCGCTAGCTTTGGGGGTCAGTGCGACGAAACAAGTAAAGATAACCAGCGCCTAGCGGTGGTTCCTGCGACACGGCCACCTTATCATCATTGAAGATAACCCAGCGGCCATCTTTCTTCATGTGGCAAACGTAGTGCCCAGAATTGGTGTTCTTGCCAACATGGCTGATAAAACCTACAAGAGAGAAGTCGCCGACCACCTTGCTATCCGAACGATTTTCAGAGGACTCATCAACGCCAGACGAGGCTGCTGGTGGCACTACACCGCGATCACAGTCGGCGACAGCACTGTCTAGATCGGCTATGCGACTGAACAACCACTCAGCTGCACGGTCAGGATCGTTGCCTGTTTGCTTTAGCGCACACTTGGCGTGAGACTCTGCGAAGCCCATGGCCATTGGACTGGACACGATGTCCATGTTAACTGACTCGCCTGCAGCCTTGGATCCAGGACGTGCTGGCGAAGGCGGATGGTCAAAGTCTGGGTCGTTCATGTGACTGAAAATCCATTCCATAGCCGCTTCAGCATTCGATTTGCCAGTCGCAATCGCTGCATGCTTGCAACCGTTCTCGGAAAAACCCATAGCAACCAGCTGAGCCACCAAAGCTTCATCCGCAGTATCTACCGCGGCACTAACATCGCTTTCGTTCGTCGCATTGGCTACAGGATCATCCATCCTTTCCTCCTCACCATCTACAAGACCCTTGGACAAAAAGCGTGTCAGCGAAAACTTTTCGGGCACCGTCACCTCGACTTCCAGCTTCTTTGGCGTCAAGTCTTCAGCTACGTAAAAGCGTCGCATTTGCACGAGTAAATAACGCGGGAATGAGCAGAAGCGAACTGTCTGTTGGAAACTGGATGCAAGTCAACGGTGGACAATGAAGTAAAGGGTGGCGATTGACAATACCTTTTACAGGGAAGGTTTTATCTGGAAGGTATAGTTGACAATACCTTTTACAGGGAAGGTTTATCTGGAAGGTATTTCGTAGAAGATTCCTCCTGACATGAAGACATGCATTAAGTAGACTCAGTCCAAAAGTTTCCCTTCAGTAAACAAGTTGTTTGTGAGTGCGTAGCCATTGTTTCCCTTTATCCATACTCTATTAGGGTTATGAGCCCAAGGACGACCCGTTCTTAAGAGAAGCGCTAAACAAGACTACACTACAACAACTATACCATATATTCCTCATCGGACTCTGAGGACGGCAAGAGAAAAAGACACAAGGAGATTAAGTTGGGATCGCAAGGCACTCCAGTTAATTGGAATGGAGAAGACTGGACCTTCTACAAGCACGCGATGCTCAACGCATTCGAGCAAAACCTACTCGATGAGATCGCAGCAGGAGGCGTTGTGGAGGACGCATCCTGGAATCAAGCCAAGAAGGACAAGTTCAAGAAGAGTCAAGCCGAGGTGAAGATTCTTATTCAAGGCTCGTTGTCGATGAAGCTGGCCAAGCAGGTGATATCGAAGAAGACAGGAACCGAGATGTGGCACGAGCTCTGCTCAATTTTTGAAGGGAAGCAAAACTCAGCCATGATAGCGCAGAAAGTGTACCGCCTCCAAAGCGAGCTACACAGGACCCATTTGCGTCCAAATGGTGACGTGAGAAGTCATTTGTACACTTTGTTCGACATCAAAGACCAGCTCGAGGACTTGAATTCTCCTGTAAATGATTTACAGATGGTGGACATGATGCTGCGCAGTCTCCCGACGCAGATGTGCTATAATGAACTCAGAAGAAAGGTATTATATAGCTCAAATCTGAGTAAATATACGCCTGAGATAGTTCGCGAGATGATATTCACCGCCGAGTCGCGCAGTAAAGACTGGGAAAGCTATGCATTCGGGAGCGCTCAAGGCAAGAAGAAGCCAAATGGTCCAACTACTGGAACGAGAGGTGGCATGAGGCAAACCTTGAGAGACGATAAGACGAGAAAAATCAAGAATCATGATTTTGAGTGTCATCATTGTGGAGGTAAAGGCCATTACAAGAGAAATTGTCCACAATTGATGAATGAAGAGAAGTCGCGTGGAAGAAAAAGTGCTCACGCAAAGTACGCCAACTCTGGTAGCAAGACGAAAATGGAAGAGAAGGGCGAGCCTTTATTGCAACGCAAGGTGCAAGCAGATAAGCGTGACGTGGTGATAGGAGAAGCTACAAAGTTGACGTCAAAGGATTCAACTTCTAGCAACTGGTATTTCGACACGAATACAAATGCCCACATAGTGTCCTCCAAGGAATACTTTACTGTACTACAGAGTATGGAAGACAGTGACTGGAATCCAATGATATTTAGATTCACACTCAATGGAGCGAAAGCAAAAGCTGAAGGATTTGGTACGATTATTCTCGCAACAGTTGTTGATGAAGAATTGGTAACAGTGTTCGTGAAAGACGTTCTCTACGTCCCTCATGCTGGATGCAATTTGTTTTCGCCTGGTTTGGCTATGAACCAAGGATTCAGCATGTCATGGGACCCGAATGCTAAGATATTTACTATGACGAAAGACGATATCGAGGTGATACGGACACATCGGAAGCACCGCCTATGGACGTTTACTGCTCACAATGCAAATAATACTGCACAGCACAAGAAAAACATTACCACGAAGCGACAAGTTATTGCTAACTTTGCAGTGACTGATGGTGTGGAAGATATCGATGTCTGGCATGAACGACTGGCACACACGTGTCCAGAATATATCCGGTTGATGGTTGATCGTGGCCTGGCAAAAGGTATCATGCTAAAGAGACGTGGGAAATTCGATTGTGTAGACTGTCATGTTGGTAAACAGCGGCGAAAGTCATTTCGAAAGGCGTTAGATAGAAATATCGCGAACGTTAATGACATTGTTTTTGCCGATTTGCTGATACCAGGAATAGGCAATGGATCCCCATATAACGCCGTCCTAGTCGTTATGGATGGATACTCACGTTACGTCAGTGTCTTCATGCTCAAGTATAAGTCTGAGAATGAAGTCAACAAATTCATGCAGGAATATATTGCTTGGGCTGAACGACAAGTTGGCAAGAGGGTTGAGGCTGTGATTACTCATTAGTTGAGTGAAGATTCTCAACGAAGCCAAGGAGCTCTCGTGAGGCAAGTCCTTACAGACAAAGGGCAGGAATTTTGCAATGGTACAATGGCACAGTGGTATCAAGAAAGGGGCATAGTGCATACAAGAGTCGGCCCCAAAGCGTCCCAACTAAATTTAGTTGAGCGCACACACCAGACATTGATTGGAATGGTGAAGACCATGATGCACCAGTCTGGATTACCTAAATCATTTTGGGTGCATGCATTAGTAACAGCTGCCTACATCAAAAACAGAGTGTATTGCAAAGGGGCAGGACGCACTCCGTATGAGTTGATGTTTGGTTCGAGACCGGACGTTCATCACATCCGGGCGTTTGGGTCACTCACTTATTGTCACACGCCAAGAGAGAAACGGAAAAAGCTGAGCATGAATTGCCGAGTGGGATTCCTCATTGGATATCACGAGAACATTGTTGGTTGTCATGTGTACTTCCCAACAGAGCACATGAAAGGATATGTGTCAGATGTCAAGATAAATGAGGCTATAAAGTATAAGGATCGTTTCGACAGTGGATATACATCAAAAGTCAGACGGTGGCTCCAGACACTAAGTGAATACGCTGAGGAGGGCGCATTTAATGATTCTAGTTCTGAAGGATCCGAGGTGTCACATCTGACTGACATTGTAGCAAGCATGGATTTTAATGATTCTAGTTCTGAAGGATCCGAGGTGTCACATCTGACTGACATTGTAGCAAGCATGGATTGTAATAGCAGTACCATTCAGATGGAGACTGCTGAATCCGATCCCGACACTCTAAATGAGGCAGAACAAACCTTGTGGAATGACATGCTACGCAATAGTATTTTACCAGAAGTGGTCCAGACACAAGGACAAACCAGCGAACAATATTTCAGTGCGAGCAGTAGCGACAAAGAAGAAGGTCAGGAGAGCGAATCTGGTGAAACGCAGGGGGGAGAGCTAGAACCCAGTGACAGCGTTTCTCAAGAACTATCTGAACATGCTACGCCGGGGGAAGAGTTAGCACCCAGTGACAGCGTTTCTCAAGAACTTTCAGAAGATGCATCGGATCCTCCAACTGATTCTACAGCACATTATCGCGCCGAATATTGTGACTCTGTTCCAGATAGCAACAAAGCAGTTGCAAATGACTCGGATATTTATGACGACGATAAAGACGATGCGGAATCCGGACTTGAGTCGCACAATGACGAGGAAACAGCTGACGATGATAACGCTGATGATGACGCTGATGATGATACAGACGCAGATGATGATACAGCTTCAGGTGAAGAGAGACTGCTCACTGATACTGGACATATAACAGACCCTGAAGTGACTCGAAATGAATCTGTCTATGCTGCAAGTGACTACAATTATGATTGTTTATTCGATCCTTTATTCGATCCAAGCGACATGTTGGAGGCTGTGAACGGCACCACGACGTTGACCATTGCCAATGATCAGCTGATCGGCCACAGAAGACCCAGAGATGTCGAAGTCAGGCGAAGTAGGGAGCACAAAAGAATAAAAGAGGATCACAAAAGAGCAAAGATCACTCCGCGTCTACCCATATTGAGAAAGAATGATCAGCAATGTATACTGAACCAGCGCGAAGATTTCACGGTTAACGCTGCATTCAGAACACCAAAGAACGTTGAAAGCGAAGCGTACGGTAATCGCGCAAGTGATATTCGGACACCAAAGAACTTTCGTCAGGCGATGTGCTCGAAATATGCAACCCAGTGGAAAGCAGCTATGGACGAAGAATTGGAAGCAATGAAGTCCAAGGGAGTGATCACATTAATTTCGAAACGAGAGATGCCTGAAGACACTAAAGCGATCAAGACAATGTGGGTCTATAGTGTTAAAACGGACCACTTAGGCAACGTTATCCGTCTTCGAGCAAGAATTGTGGCTCGAGGTGAAACAACGCCCAGGAATTGACTGGAGAAATTTTCAGTCCTGTAGCACGTATGGCGACTTTCAGGATGTTCGTGGCCACTTGTCTATTGATGGACTTGACCATTTACCAGGGTGATATCAACACGGCCTACCTGAATGCACCCTTGGGGATCAAGCAGTACTTGGACTCTCTAGATGGATATCCTTCTGAAACTGACGACATGGTATATGTTGTTCACAAGGCACTGTATGGTCTTAAACAGTCTGGTCGAGAGTGGAACACCGAAGTAAATGCGTGGTTTTTACGGTATGGGTTTAAGCGTTGCACTACAGAACCGTGTCTGTATTACTACGATTCAGGTTCTGAGTTCGTATTGGCACTACTCTACGTGGATGACATTCTGTGTGCAACCAACAATGAATTGTTCAAGACGAAAATGTTTCGGAGTCTGGACGAGGTCTATGGAATGAAGGATCAAGGTCTACTTAGCACTTATTTGGGTGTTCAAGTAGAGAGAAGCGATGATGCGATTAAAATTCATCAGACGAAATACTGCGAAGACGTTATCAATCGTTTTAACTTTGGAGATGCGCACGCTAGCAAAATTCCGATGGAAACAAACATACGACTTGCTGTAAACGATACGGATACCGCGAGGGCCAAACGCATACCTGACAATGGCAAATAATTTCCATATCGTGAGCTAATTGGCTCATTGATGTATCTGGCAACATGTACGAGGCCAGATCTTGCGTATGTGGTCGGGCAGCTTAGTAGATACGTGCAAAGCCCAACACAACAACACATTGGCGCGGCCAAGAGAGTGTTAAGGTATCTGGTGGGTTCCAAGACTCATGGAATTGTGTTCCACGCAAACAATGATGGAAAATTAAGAAGTGATTTAACCGTTGAGGGATTTTGCGATGCGGACTGGGGAAACGACCCAGACACGAGGAAAAGCATTACTGGATATGTACATTGCTTGGCAGGAGGTGCGATATCGTAGGCGTCACGACGGCAGAGTATCGTGGCTCAATCTACGGCTGAGGCCGAATATAATATGTAGCAGCTTGCGAGGCCTGTATGGAAGGAAGGGGTCTCATTCAGGTTCTAATCGAGATATTCCCAAGGTTGGTGTCGAAGTTTCGTCTCGGGATTGACAATCAAGCTGCCTTTGTGATGGCTACAAACCCGACCTACAGTCGCAGAACACGACACATTGAACTACGCTGGCACTACGTTCGAGATCAGTATGTGAAGAAAGCAGTAGAACTGTGGAAGGTAAAGACAGAAGTGAATCCCTCAGACTTGATGACCAAGCCCCTGGCGAGTGCGCGTTTTGAGGCACTTATCACCATGATAGGGATGACCAAGAACGTTTTGCCGCAGTAACTACTGACGGAGGAGGGCGTGTTGGAAGCTGGATGCAAGTCAACGGTGGACAATGAAGTAAAGGGTGGCGATTGACAATACCTTTTACAGGGAAGGTTTTATCTGGAAGGTATTTCGTAGAAGATTCCTCCTGACATGAAGACATGCATTGAGTAGACTCAGTCCAAAAGTTTCCCTTCAGTAAACAAGTTGTTTGTGAGTGCGTAGCCATTGTTTCCCTTTATCCATACTCTATTACTGTCTTTTGTGCTTGACCATTCTTGCCTGTTGCTGGAGACAAAAAATCGTCGATAATTTCGGGTGCCAACGTCTTTTCGACACAAGCCTCGAACGGAACATTAGGCACCACACACTCTTCGCTATTAGCACCCGTGCTGCTCTCAGACTTCTGTTGTCGACAAGGCGCTAGCGCTTTTGCTCTAGCACCTGGTATGCAGTCACCTGTGTCGCGTTCGTGGCTGCCTCCAGGGGAATTTGCAACCGCAAGACCATGTCGCGCAGCACGTATTTGACTTTACTCGAAGCAATACACTGCACACCGTCTTCTAGCTTGAGCTTGAACAAACTTGCAGTCGGCAGCTCCGCACTGGTGGCACTGCCACCTGCAGAAAGCGGTCCTAAGCGGGTCGTGCTTACACGCTCGATTCGAGTCATAAAGTACAAAAGATACTGCAAATACTCCACAGCATCTTGCTGCTGGCCCGTCGAGAAGTCGGCGTGGCCTTTGCCGACAAGAGCACGGAAAGTTGTGGGTCGTAGATCAATGTTGCGAATGTCGTCCTCTCCAACATTCTTGCTGCTGTCCTCGAGCGTTCGGTATTGCTTCTTGTATCGGTCCGTAAGTGCTGCATCACAAGCTTAGCAAATTGTGCAGCAAAGTCGTCGACAGGGAGCGCCGACGGCGTATCCACCGTGGCAAAATCTTATCTGTCTCCTTAAAATATCGTTCCTGGACCTCCGGTAACGCCAACAGCCGCTGCAGCGCCGAGTTCATGTATCAACTGTTGCCCAAGTTCTTGAACCCAATGTACCCTGCCCCTGACACGGGTACAAGTTTCTTTCCGACCTCCACCACAGCGTCAAACTCATGCGAGAGATTCAGCCCCACTTGTAGTTCATTCATCGACTTGTCCGTCTTGCGTGAATAGTTGACATTGATGCAAAAGTGTTCCAAATGTCGATCCAAGTGCGTGTTCTTGACCATGTCATATTCGTCAGGTGCATAGCTGTACACGTCGCCTCTTTCTGCTGTAATCGTACCCAACTTGGCAGCCAGTGGGTACTTTCCTCCCGTCTCGCTAAAGTGCGTCAGTGCAGCACCACATCCACCCGATCCATCCCAGTTCTGTCGCCCACAACCACTGTAGCCGTCCGAGAGGTTGAGCCACAAGTTCTCTTGTTTATCACACTGAGGGTCTTGACACTTCCACGCCAATGGGTTTGACGCAATCTGTGGCGGAGACGATAGCTGCTCTAGATGCTCTGCGTACTTGGAAAGCTTGAGTTCCTCCTGCCAGGACGCCACCTCCTCACTGACAGTGTTTCCTACATGGTGCAGCACAGCCTCAGCCGCTTGTTTGATCTCCAAAAGGACATCTGGATCGTCTAGAGGCATGCGGACCCGTTCCTGGTGCTCCGAGTCCAATAGAACAACAAAACACGTTTTTCAAGCTCAAACTTGTCGTCTACATCGACGGCAAAGCCTCCATCGCCGCCAATCGCGAGCTTCGTAGGCGTTTCGTTTCCGACCTGAGCAGTACGTGGATTGAGCTTGCGCTGGTGGTGCTGGTGTAAGTAGACGGACGTGCCGTTGCGGTCAAACGCGAGACTTGAGGCCCCGTACGAGAGAAACGAGTGCAAATTCGTATAGATATCCAATGGAGGCAGTGGACAGTCGAACGAGAAGACGCAATCGTCGCAGTACACGCGGTCAGAGGCGCGAGGGACGCGGACGTGGGGCGTTACAGTCTGGAGAAGAGCGGCCATTGTGTGTATGTGTTTTCTGAGCTTCTGAGATGGAGCGATTGGGCCAAGATACAATTTCAGGTGAACCACGTAAATAGTGTCAGCGGTCTTTGCCTCTTTATTGTAGGACAAAGCGTCTGTTTTGCGGAACAGAGCATCAAGTGTCAAGAAATATGGACAGCGCGGGCACGTGATTGCAGTAATTGCAATACGTCGAAGGCTATAGGCGGTAATACGTTTGTTATTGCCTGGCGTCATGCAAACCATATAGCACGCGCAGCGAGGTTTGGAAACGAGTAGAACGCATCGATAGGACCTGATATTATCTGGACGACGCAAGACGGTGTAGGGTGCTGCGTAGTAGTAGCATCAGTGTTGTGTAATCAACAATCATGTAACAACAGGACGGGACATCACGACTAATTTTTATCTGATAGTTTCGGTAATGATGCATAACTTTGCTGGGGTAAACATGTTAGTGAAAGAGGCAAACAGCAAGAAATTGTATATGCTTTCCAATCTCATTCGTCATCTCAAATTCACTCGACCTTGTATTTGATGTATCGCCTTGACACAAATCTTAAACGTAAGCACAATGAACCTAAGCAGCTCATTTTTTGTTTGCCCTTAGCGCCTCGTATTCGCAAGTGATGACTGCGTAAAATCCGCTTATCGCATACGCAAATATTGCGCTTGTGTAACGGGGCAGCCCGTTACATGGAATTGTCACTTTAAGGAAAGTGACAATAAAGAATGTAAAGATGGATATTCTTTAAACAATATCACCAAAGTGGTGATATTGAAGGGTCGACCAAAGGGTCTGTTCATTGGTTGATATCTTGATGATATCAACCCACCAATCGCCGCAAGACGCGCGCAATGAGTGGTGACGAGACGTCACCATACATCCAGTTATATAAGTATAGTTAAGTTAATTCAAACAGAGAGACA